CAGAAAATAACTTTTATCAACCCACAGACTCCCTCCTTTTGGCAGCAGATGACCCATGGACCAGGAGTCGATGCGCGTGACTTACTCGTCCCGTATCTGTTAAACTGAGTCGTGGCCATTATTTATGTCTGATCAGCTGTAGTGATTGCTTTATTAGGAAACTTTGGTGGTTAATGGAAAAGTTTGAAACAAAGGTCTTCACCTAGTGGCCAAGATATGTGTTTGAGAGGACTCTTAGCTACTATAACAGCACATTTTGGCTCAATATCTGTAAAATTAACATTTTTGTGATTGCTAATGTTTTCTTTAGGTGGCAGATGATAATATTCAGGAGCCAAGAACCAAGGTTCAAAAAAGCATCAGAAACTTTTGAGAAAGACCACCACCAGTCTGGCTCATAGAAGTCAAACAAAAAGAAACGAGGGATGAATCCAGAACTTCTGTAGATGGACTAACAGCTCCCTGGTAAAAGAGCGGGATTAGTCCAGCATGGGGTGTTGAGTTACAAACCAATCAGCCGGTGGGATTAGTCACTCAGGTACAGTTACTTGAGTACCTGTCAGCCTCAGCTTTCTTTGATGCAGGTCAAGACACAGTCAGTCGCTGACCACACACAAGGAAACTCAACGCTGCGTCCATCTTTGCCTCTGCAACAAGCTTCAGGGAGGAGGCTGGACAAACTTTCACTTTAATTAGTCGACCAATATTGTCTCCAAAATCTTGTAAGAAAGAGATGGAGCACCTATAATGTGTTGTAGGCTTTCTGCTCAGCATAGACAACATTGTCCTCCATCTCTGTCCACATCCATATTTCTATCCTCCTTTATTCGGGTACCATTGTCCAACAGATTCTCCTGGAACCCTGTTGGAGCACACGGGAGCCCAACAAAGACTCAGGAAGTGATTAGTGGCTTAACGAGGAGGAGGCTTTGAGGAGGGAGTTAGGGGGATGGATGGCCTTTTTCAAGAGGCTGCTAAGGAGGTTAAAGTTTCAGGGCTTAAGAGGTTGGTGTTAAGTTGCGGAGGTCAGCGGTGAGGTTAATTAGGAGCTGGGCTTTTGTTTACAAGGGATGAGGAGATGCTACAAGGATTCACTTTGTCTCCTCTTCACGGTGCTCCTCCAGCCGTCCTGGAAGTGTCGTCCCTCCTCCACCCTGATAATGGTCCCAGACCAAGATGTGGCTGAATTAGCTGAGCTGTAACTATTAAAACAGCCTTCTAATCACCTCAGTTTGAGTATGTTTGGCATGTCCTTCACGCTTTGATTAGAACAACGCTCCTTTCTTAAGCTGGGTGGATCTCTAAGACCATGACTGTGTGTGTATGTGTGTGTGTTTTCTCATTGTTCTGCTGTTGCAACATTGAGAAAACATGCTGCATTCGTCTGAGGGTAATTCGAGTGGAGCAGACTGAGAGACGCGACATGAGTCTGTGAAACACAAAGAAACGTCTTCTGCAGATGCTTGAATTCACCTGCAAAACCTTTTAAATAAATCTTTATTTTTATTTGTGCAAATCCAGTTTAATAAACAAGCATTTACATCTTATTGCTAGTGAAACAGAGTTTTTTAACACATGAGAGAAATTTTGTATGCTTTAGAAATGAGGATGAAAATCATTGGTGTGCAGGAAGTGATTGTCTTGGTTCTTACTTTGTCTCCTCTTATCAGGGTCTTAAGCTTAAACCATTTAGTCAGTTGATGGAAGCAGATCTATGAGCTTGATTGGACAGAGAATTCCATCGTTTTACCTTGTAATTGACAATTTTATAGCAATATTTATATTGATGATGACAACAATGATGATGATGATGATGATGGTGATGATGATGGTGATGATGGTGATGGTGATGATGATGATGATGATGATGATGATGATGATGATGATAATGGTGATGATGGTGATGATGGTGATGGTGATGATGATGATGATGATGATGATGATGATGATGATGATGATGATGATAATTCTCGGCATATCCATCATAATTTAGCTCAACATCTAAAATAATCTGAGAAGCCATTTTTTTATATGGTGGTCGGAGGGACCGGTGGCGCCAGTGCTCGGCAGCCTCGCCTCTGTCAGTGCGCCCCAGGGCAGCTGTGGCTACATCGTAGCTCATCCCCACCAGTGTGTGAATGTGTGTGTGAATGGGTGAATGACTGATTGTGTTGTAAAGCGCCTTGGGGGGTTCTAGGACTCTAGAAGGCGCTATATCAAATACAGGCCATTTTACCATATAAAGTCAATTGGCGATAGTGGCCGTATTGAATTGGGTTGACTATAAAAGTTACATCTAATTTTTAGTCCATCCAGTGGTCCACTAGACATTTTGCACGCGCACACACACACACACACACACACACACACACACACACACACACACACACACACACACACACACACACACACACACACACACACACACACACACACACACACACACACACACACACACACAGACTTTCTTACTCATCCGGTTACATCTAGGCAATAACCATTAGGGCTGCAGCTATAGAATATTTTAGTATTCGAGTATTCTATCGAATCTTCCATCGATTAATCGAGTATTCTATTTGATGATGTTTCAAGTGAAACAAGATTATGGTCTGCTGCTAAAAATATGACAATAAAAAAGCAAAATTATGAAAGGCTCAACATTAAATTGGTGTTGTCTAGTTCCCTCTTTCCCAGCTGATATTTATAGGTAATAAATAGTTTGTGGAACAACATTTGACTTACATTTCATTCACAATTTAGGTTTGTATCGACTTCATCCTAGTCAAAATAACATATCTAAAAATATTCACATATAATCAGTAAAATTTAATTATTTCATTAACATTTTCAGTGGTAAGCTAGAAATGCTAACATTTGATTTCTGTTTGTTACAGTGTACTTATGGTATATTTCTTTTATTATGTACGGGTTGGCAACATAATCTAGTCTAACTTGTATTGAAATATAAAAGTGTTGGTGAGTTATATGATACAATGGCTTGCTACAGTACAGACTGCTGTGGCAGAGGGAGCAGACTCGTAGCAACCAGAGCTGCGGCGGCTCGGCCCCACACTGCTGCTGAGATCCACAAATAAAAGGGATGATGGAGATTTTTCTTCCGCTTGTGGAATTTAGTTGTTCACAACAATCACGTTTTTTCTGAACCACACTTGCTGTGAGAATCCTACCACAAGCTTAGCATTAGCAATTCTGCTCATATTTTAACTCTTGATCCCAAACTTTGGACCAAGTCTGCCTTTTACAATTATTTCTCTAGTTTCCTGCACAGCACCGAGACTACAACATGGTGATCCAGCAAAACGTCTTCAGACTGTGGAGCACACATTCAATGAAGACTCAAATCAGGAACAAATGAATCGAGGAATTTAATGAATCGAACCCCTCGAATCATTCGATGATTTGTCTCAGCCCTAATAAGAATAATCAAAATGTATATGATAATCTCTGTAAACTAAACTATCCCAGCATCACAAGGCTCCTCTGATGAGTTTTAGATTGTAAAACATGTTTCTGTATAACTGCAGAGAAGCTGAACCCTCAAACTGGGATATGTTCTAAGTTCTTTCACTGCTGATTAAACAATGTTTTTAAATCTAAAACTTACGGTTTTAGAACAAATGAAGTGAAAACATGATTTGATTTGATTCATACAGAGTGGGGGAGAAAAGGCACGTGTCAACTCAATCCCCCAAGCCGGGACATCTGCCTGTTGGGGGTAATTGGCATTAACCCTTTAAATCAGGGTGACCCCTTTTTCTTGCTTTGGGGCGTTTGAATTAGTGATTGGGCCACTGGGTGACATTATTTTTAAATGATATTGTTTTCATTTGTTGTTTTACCTTGACTTTAATTATTTTATCTGACTTCATAACCTGAAGACACACTCTGTTGGTGTTCAGTGAGGTTACTTTTAGTTTCTATTAGAGAAACCTGTCCTGATGGCCCCTCGGCATACACAGCATATGGTCCAGAGCTCCCAAATATTAATGTTGATTGAATATGATGCTCCATTACACTAATGTTAGCTGCATAACCCTGAAATTAATCCTGCATCTCCAAATTTATGGATATTGAAGAACAGATAAGTGATTAGATTGAAGGGAGTCCACTTAGAGAAACATATGCTGCCAGGTTTTGGTGAGATGATCACAATTCTTCTTCTTCTTATTGAGCAGATTACTGCAGAAAGGTGATGAGATTTATCAGGTTGAGAAAAGTAACTTAATTTCTATGCTGTTTTGTTCCAGGCCCTATATGGGCTATAATCTTTATGAATTCACATTTTTATAGTTTATTTTTGTAATTTAAATTCCAAATGGGCATTTCAATGTCAGGTTCACTGGAGGTGCAACTTGCAATAATCCAAATTAAGCTGAAAGTATTTTGAAGAGGGATGGTAACAAAAAGACAACTGCATTTGTAACAGTCAGTCATCTTACGGTCTCAGGGGCCTGGTGTCTGACTCCAGAAGTCATTGGCCAGAGGTGGGGGACAGTCTGGACATGTCTCCAGTCCAACACACAGAGACAAAAACAAACGGTCACACATTCATTTTCACCCAAGGACAATTTAGTGTCTTAACCTGACCTGCATGTTTTGGTCTGTAGGAGGAAACTGGAGTAGTACCCGATAAAAACTCATGCATGGAGAAAACGCAGCAAAATGCCCTCAGCAGGGAATTTAACCTGTGACATTCTTGCTGCTCCCCCATGCAGCCCTGTTATATATTTGTTGTTTTTACTGTTATTAAATTCCAGAGACGTCTAATTCTTTAAACACATACTTGGCATTAAGAGGCTGTTCTAGTTTGGACACATAAATCCTGTCTGATTGACAGCAGTCATGTCAATCCCCGTTAGCTGGTGTCCAATGAGGATTCAGACCTCGGGTCCATCCCAGACTCCCAGGTGAGCTAAAGAGACCCACTTCTGCAGATTTCTGTCAGTCTGATCTAGAAACACTCTCCGGCTGCATTCCAGATGGTTTTTAGGTCACCTCTCGAGTTGTTTTCAGCCTCCCGCCTCCTCCTCCCACACTTTGTGGATGGACCCACTCACCTGCCCGGTTCCCGGTCACTAGAGGACCCTCCCGCCGCTTGCCCTCCCATGGCCCTCCCAGGACTCTGCTTCTCCGCCTCGCAGATTGCCAGCGTGTGCGAGACTTTGGAGGAGACCGGAGACATCGAGCGACTGGCCCGCTTTCTCTGGTCACTCCCGGTGACCACAGACGGGCGCGACTCCATCTCCGATCATGAGTCCGTGCAGCGGGCACGTGCCGTGGTGGCCTTCCACACGGGAAGCTTCCGCGAACTCTATCGCATCCTGGAGACGCACCGATTCACCCGCGCCTCGCACGGTAAACTGCAGGCGATGTGGCTGGAAGCTCACTACCGGGAGGCGGAGAAGCTCAGAGGGAGGCCGCTCGGTCCCGTAGACAAATACCGCGTGAGGAAGAAGTTCCCATTACCAAGGACCATCTGGGACGGAGAGCAAAAGACACATTGCTTTAAGGAGCGCACGCGGGGGCTGCTGAGAGAGTGGTACCTGCAGGACCCATACCCCAATCCGGGGAAGAAGAGAGAGTTGGCGCACGCCACCGGGCTGACACCGACTCAAGTTGGAAACTGGTTCAAAAACCGGAGACAGCGAGACCGCGCGGCGGCAGCTAAAAACAGGTTGGTGAATTTTACTGGAGCATGGATTAGTTTAAACACCCTGGCCTCGTCTTCAAATCGTTTAGAAAGTTACTCTGGAACAATAAAACCACTAAGTATTTATTCTAAAAATACTTTTCTAATGCCCACTTATTACTTTTCACCTAATAGTTCTCGCGGTTAGCCAGAGTCGCGCGCAAAAAGACCACCGCGTGCGTAAAAGCGCACTAACTTTCAGCTATACCATTTGTGAGATTTTATTTAAACTTGACAAACCCATTTGTTCATTCGTGTATTTTTCAGGTTGCAACACCACCGCATATATCCGGAAAGTGCGCATGCACTGAGTGGAGGAGACTGCAGCCCAGACGGCAGCGCAGAGCACGACGATGGAGAAACTTTCCTCTCGGTAACGGACAGTGACTCTGACCTGGACGTTTGAAGCTCCAAGTGGACTTTACAGAGCCGGTCCGATTTGCACAGAGACAAAAGATGCAGATTAAGGGTTGTGCAGCAAAATATGTTGAGGAAAGGACTACTGGTTCCAGGCGGATTAATTCGTTTCCTGATTTATTTTTTGATGGTTTTTGCTGTTATTTTTTCAGATGTTATTTTAATTCATTTGTATTCCTTCTGTATTTTTACCTCTGACTGATCATGCATTTACTTCTTGAAAGTTGATAATCCAGAGACCCCTTACATGTCACCAAATCACTCCTGTTCTCACTAATGTGTCAGTTTTTTTTTATAAATAGATTATTATAGATCCATTAGAGGCCCCTGGAGGACCCCCAACGGCAAACTGTGGACAATCAGCCAGAAGCATCAGATCCTACCTCCTTACCTGTTTACGTTTTTGTCCCCTTTTTGCCTTTATTGATACTCTTTCTAAACTCCATTGTAAAGTTTGTGTCAAAACGAACTCTGTTCAATTTGATGCTTATAAAAATGTTTTGTTATTTTGTATAAATAAAGCTATTTAATGTAAGACTGGTATTTGTAATTTCAAGACTGTGTTCGTGTTAGAATTTCCTCAGAGACATTTTCACATAAGATTCAAAAGATAAAGTTTTTTGCTTTAAAAAACTGAGATGATCATTTTAAAATTTACAGGTCAGTTAATTATTTGTGTGGCAGTTACTAAGAAAAAAAATCTTTATGATTTTGGTAAATTTCCCATAACTTTTCTATCTGGTTATTTTTAGTTGATAATATATGTATTTACAAACAAACAAACATCTTAATTCTTCAGCCTTCTAATAATAAAACTCTGCAATGAGTCATTAAAATAAAATGGACGGTCTCTCGACACACATTTCCCCCGTTCCTTTTCTTTAACAAGCCTTTTAACTGATCTTTTATAACATTTAAAAGGACAAAAACACCAACCCCGCTACACCACTCTCCCTCCATTCTGAGTTGATAACTGTTGGATCAAGTTTAACGCTGTGAAATCACACCTACAGCACAGCGACGAGGCACTGCCACCCAGTGGCCAGAAAAGTAAAGGTAATGATTTTTAGTTTGTTTGAAAATCAACAAATATTTTGTTCAGAACAAATAATAATTGCTCACCGAAATCGTTAATACAGATATTGAAAAAAAATTTTTTTCCCGAAATATTCCAACGTTTCATACAGGTGCAGCTTTAAGGCAATCTCTGTTTATTTGTTTGTTTTGTTTACTTTTACAGAGTGAGCCATGATAATGTATCATATCTTTTAAACAGAAGATTTTAATTGCTGAATTGATGGGCAGGACAAAGATTAAAATATTTTATCTAATCTCCGAGGAGCACCTGAACACACCATTCAGTAACATCAAAACGTGATGACATCACCAAACGGCAAGTCGTCCTATTGACCAGCAGAGAGCGCTGCTGACCAAGACTGTTGATAATCTCTTTAACCCTTTGATGCATAATGGTCACTACAGTGGACAGGCACTCAGAATTTAATTATTTTTTATTATTATTTTTACTATTAAGCACAGCTGTTGAAGACTTTATTGCATTTGAGCCCCTCCCCTTGGACTTCAGTAAGTCAAGTCAACATATTTCATGTTCAGAATGCACGCTGTCCACTGAGGTGGACATGTAATAAATTATTTGTAAATTATTAAATGTTACAAGAAATTGTTTAAATTTGTTTCATTCACACCTAAAGATGAATGAAAAAATTGTTTAAAAAGTCATGGTTGAAGATTTCATAATTCTTGCATCGAAGGGTTAAGCACAAACACTGATTACTTGACTGATGCAATTAAAATCCCACAAAAATATTAGAACTTTTGTTTATGGTACAAATTAAATATCTACAACCTTTAAATGTCAGATAGACAGACTCCTTGTCCCCCCCCCCCCCCCCTCCCCCCCATGAACATGCATAAAGTCAGACTGATTGACTGGCTTTGGCTACCTAGCAATGTCACGCACACACGCACACACGCACACACGCACACACACACACACACACACACACACACACACACACACACACACACACACACACACACACACACACACACACACACACACGCTTCATGCCTGCGGGTGAATTCCGTTCTCTCTCCCAATGAACACACGCACAGACAATCGAGAGAGAGAGAGAGAGAGAGAGAGAGAGAGAGAGAGAGAGAGAGAGAGAGAGAGAGAGAGAGAGAGAGAGAGAGAGAGAGAGAGAGAGAGAGAGAGAGAGAGAGAGAGAGTGACGCGTTTTGCGCATTTCCTGCAGCTCGCGCTCACACTGACGGATTGGGAGAGAGAGGGGCGCGCGCAGGGACCGAACGGAGGAAAAAAGCGAACGTGATCTGAGCTCTGTGATGTGTTTGGGGAGCTCGCGAGCTCGACAAAAGACTGCATCGGAAGGAAATTCGGTTTTCCGAGAGTAGACGCAAATTTCGTGGTGGCGTGAGGTCGAAGCCAGGAGATTATCCCGGAGAAGAGCGAGCCGCAACGGGCTGGAAACGGAGCACCAATCCCGGATGGCTAGGCGCGGCTGCTCGGGCTCTTTCCCACCCTGACCCGGCGGAGACACTCCTTGAGGACAGTGTCGAGGCTCCGGGGACTGCACATGTGAGCAAGCTGTCACCCTACGCTCTCCCTCACGTTCTGGACGGTTTCAGCCGAAACGGGATTTTTAGGGACCGACCATAAACAAACAGCGGCTCGGGTGGGAGAGAGTATCCTCACAAGGGTGTGTGTGTGTGTTGTAAGTGCGTTTCTTGAAGCTAATACAGATCAATTAGCTATTTGGTTAACGTGTGTGTTCGGATATGGCTGGGTTAGTCTGAGAGTGAAGCGGCATTATGGGATGTAACAGGACTGTGCAGTGACCCCGCTCATTGGAAGGAAACATTCTGTGTACAAGAGCAGAAACAGCCTGAATAACCTAAACACACACGCACACACACATCCTCTCTCAGCACGCACACACACCCCACAGACATGCCTGTGTTTAATGGCGTGTTGAAGGTGCGTGTGTGTGAGGCTGTGGACCTCAAGCCCACCCCATGGGCCCTGCGTCACGCTGTAGGGAAGAGTGGCTCCTTCCTGCTGGACCCCTACCTGGCCTTGAACCTGGACCAGACTCGACTGGGCCAGACGGCCACCAGAACCAAGACCAACAGTCCATCCTGGCACCAGGAGTTCTGCACCGAAGTCCGTGAAGGAAGGAGCCTGGAGCTGTCGGTTTTCCACGATGCTCCCATTGGATATGATGACTTTGTGGCCAACTGCACCATCCAGTTGGAGGACCTGCTGCAGAACGGAACCAGGCACTATGAAGACTGGGTATGTGTTGACACTGTGGGTCAGGGAAGCCTCAGCTTTTAACACCAGCTAGGCCACAGACAGGGATGTATTACACTACATTTATTTGCGTAAACGTTTAAAGAATGGCCTGTGGAAATTACCGTAATCTCAAAAGGTGTGTATGATTTGTATTTTGCTGTGTACTGTCTGACTGATGTCCCCATTGCAGATCAACTACCTTGTTTTTCTTTCCTTCAGTTTTAAAATATGCATTTATATTCTGATGTAAATCTTCAAATTTCATGATACCAAAAAAAAAAAAAAAAAGCATCCATTCTGCTTTACCCCAAGGTGCACTGATTCTGGTTTTGAGGGCCGATACCGATTTGAGCTTCATATTCTAATCAACAAAATAAAATGAGATGATATTGAAAAAGTTGAATCTGGAAGTAAAACCACGCCAGACTGAAATAGTGCTAAGCAATTATAAGTTCACAAAACAGGAACAATTTTGGATTTTTATGGTTGCTTGGCAATGGTGCATTCATGAACCAATGGGGGGAAACTGTCTTTTCTTTGGTCTCTATTTTTGATTAAAGATCCTACAGTCATCACTTTTACCCCCTAAAACTCCTTCAAAGTCAGCGGTTTTTCTGTTCCGTTATTCTGCCATGTGTGGGTTATTACACAGGAAACTGTGTTTACTATCTGGGTCTTTGCAGGTGGTTACGGCTGTGTTGCAGTGAATAACAACACGGTAATAAACATAAACAGACCATTTGTTGTGTAAAGTCAGGTCATTATTAATTCAGATTTAGCATCAGCAGAGCTTTAGATGTGAGTTTGATGTTTTAAAAGCATTTAGATTGAAGTAATTTCATTATTCATGCACGCTTTATGATGTTATTAAGCTTTATGCATTAAAAACGTCGCTAATGTCACATTAAAACAGCAGAATCATGCACTAGCATCAGCAGTGGTTTAGCAAGCTGGAAATAAATAAAAACAAAACAAAGGCCAGCTGTGGCTCACGCACCACGTAGACTGCTTTTATTATTTTTCATCTCTGTGAAGGAAGCTATTCATCTTCTCACTTTACACACGTCACAGTTGGATGTTCCTCAACAGAATGATCAAGCTGCAGCCAAACGTTTTCAGCTAAGGACGTGACTGCTGGGGACGTGTTGCCATGGTAACCAAGAAAATGTAGAAGAAGCTTTCCTTTTTTTATAAAAAAAAACTTGAGAGGAAGAGCAGGAGTTGAACGTTAGCTTGATAAAATTCCTTCTGTAGCTCATAAGCAGGTGTCAGTTTGGGTCAAACGCAGGAGAGAAAATGCTGTTGTAGGGTTTTAGAATGAGCTCCATGTGTTTTAGTGTTAGGGTTCTTGTGTTGTTTTCTGTCATGTTTTCCAAACAGTGTTTCCTTTCAGGGCTTGCCACAGCGAATCATTCGGCTCCATCTAACCCTATCCTCTACATCAGGGCTACTCAACAGACCGCATAGCGTGACCCCTGAGCTGTAATTCTTTAACAAAGGTCCAAAAATCGTTTTACATAAAAAATGTGGATGATCCGTTATTGGACTGGGCTTTCAATACCGCTTGGCAATGTTTCACTCAAAAAAAAAAGTCTGATATTTGAGTTTCAGGTTGGCTGATCACCAGTTAGAATGGTCATGATGATTGATCTAGTTTAGATCAATCATCAGCCAATTTTTGGGTTCGTCTTCACTGTCAATCTAAGCCTTTCAAGCAGTCGTAACAAACAGGATTTCCTTTTTAGTTTGGTTTGGTTTCTTGAGATAATTCTAAAACAATCTGAGTTCCTCACGACCCACAGAGTTTGGGAACAAGTAGTTGAGACCAACCTTTTGTTTTGTTGTATTGCATCTCTGGCATCTCAGCTCAGACCTGTAACTGTGCTCATATTTCCTTTCTGCCTCTTTGAACTGGAAGTAACAAGAGGAACCATTGAATTGTGTTATAACAACATTATTGATGGTTAACAAGGTTTCTATGATCTGGTTTTCCTTGCTCAGTTGATTTGGTGTTTTGATAGTGAGCTGTTATTGTGTAAATTTGCTTGTTATGGGTAAACATGTGTTTGTTTAAAGGAAACATTCAAAAGTAATGTTGCTCAGAGCGTGCGGTAAAATTAGAGATGCTCCAAAAAGGGAATTAGACAATGTTCACCATGACTGAATTAATCATTGGTTGGCAGATATTTAGCTCAAAAATCAGAAAAGGAGAAACTTTGTTTCATGAATTCTGACCCTTCCTGGTCTGTGAGTCACAATTTCTATAATTCAAGTGCTTAATCATGCTAACGACACGGTTCCCTGTGGGAGTTTGTACTTACAGATTCATCATTTCCTAGTTAAGCAGCAATTAAAAAACATGTAAGTTTAGTTTTTTTGAGATATATTGGAGTTGGTCAAAATCGGTGTTGACAAATCAGTCTTGGCCTTCAAGACTGAAATTGGAGTATCTCCCAAAAAAATACAGTTGTTCATCTTCACCTTTGGCTTATCTCATTATACATTCATAACACGTTTTTTACAGTGTTTACAAATATTCTCCATGATCATCTCAAATGGACTGGTGAGTCTAGTAATGATGTGCCGATTCACCATTTAATCGATGCATCGTTATGTGACACGTGCCGATTTAAAATTGATTAGTAAAACATTCATAAATGATTATAAATAAATGACAAAAACAGCCACAAGTGTGGCAGGGACATCAGAGTTACGCGTGCCGCCCGGACACTTATGGCTCTTGCACATTAGGGTCAGTACGGTCAGGTACAGGACCGGAAGTTGGTTGCACACTTGGGTCACATATGAGTTTTCCGTTCTGTGGTGACTCTTTTTTCAGACCTCCTCCCCAGCGGTCCGACTGGGACTGAGGTGACACCACTGATCTATTAGGCTGGCTGAAATTATGCCGATCGACTCTGACTGGCGAGTAGATTTAGATAGCGAGGGGTTCTCTCATGCACGATTCATTTTCGTGCTGGATGCTGTTGAGTAAACTTCGGTGTCTGTAGCATGGAGCTGCTGCTCAGTGGGAGAGAAGATAGATAGCTGTGTGTGTGTGTGGCCCTGTCCTCGGAGCAGCGAACTGCACGTAGCTCTTGCCCAAGTGAGCCGGCAGGCAGCTGCTCAGTGGGAGGACAAAGCAGTGCGTGTGTGTGGCCCACAGCAGCGGAGCACAGAGTTTTATGAGGATACACGCCAAATTAATAAAATAATGTTGTTCAGAGTCTCTAAAAGAAACACAGCTCACGTTTGTTTATTTTATGGAGGACACCACAGACTTTCCCGTGCGTCTTTTAAACGCCACCCACAGGCTCCGGGACTTCCACATTCCTGAGAAGTCCTTCGGAACTACATTTGAACACTAAACTGCCCGTATGAGACCAAACTGATGCCATCCTGCACCAATCGTACTGACCCTAACGTGTAAGCATCATTTGGGGACGGACCAGCGGAAAAAACTAAGCAGCAATGGCGGAAGCTTGTTTGTTAGCTGTAGCCTCTGGGCGTGAGATCTACTCAACAGGGTTAAAGGAAAGTCGAGAAAACTAAAGTAAAATACAACAGCAACACTACCAACATGCAACAACACCTCGCATGTTTCCATCATGGGTTAGATGAAGAGAAGAAGACAGTGGTTGTTCCTCCTAACCAGCCAACAATCGAGGAATTAGGGCTGGGCAATAAGTCGAAAATGTATCACTATTAAAACTTCTGACTTTTAGCGATATTGTTTTTCCCATGTCAATAATAAAAAAAATTAAAAGATGTGTGCAGGTTGGCGACATTCATGTCCCTTTAAGAAGCTGTACCACCTTGAGTCATGTGACCGTGTGACTCATCGTAATACATGTGACAGCCCCATCTAGTGGACAACTTTTGTTTCTGCGTATACCTGTAGTTATCAACCATTTATCGTTATCGAGGTGAAATCCTCAATATATCGTGATATTGATTTTAGGCCATATTGCCCAGCCCTACAAAGAATGACCAATATAAGCCCACAACTCTAGCCTGTTTCACAAAACTATGGTGTTACTTACTTTGCTGCAAATCTGAGGCAGCACCCGGGAGTCTTTGGTTATTTATAAGGTCAGTCTGTGGCAGTAATGTGGCACGATCATGTGTTTTCTTAAAGATTACGTGATAGAGGAGTAAAGGGGTGTGGAGGTCATCTCTGCACCCTCAGACTCCCCTTTAGCTTGAACGTAACTTGTTTTTTATGCTAATTGAAAGCCACGCTTCAGGTCTAAAGACCAGAAGCTCAGCATCTCTGCTTTGATAACTTGAATTAATGTGTGCTGGATTAAGTTGAAATATGGAAAAGCTATGATGTGAGAAAAGAACCTAAATGGTGAAAAAACGCATCAAAAATAGTGGTAATCGTGATAATAGTTTAACAATCAAACAGAAGGACCCTGAATCAAAATCAAATTGAATTGCACCTGAGATGGCACACCTCTAGAGTCTAGGTTAACCCATGTTCACTAGTACATAATAAAAGTTTACTCTTAAACTTAATAAATACGTTTTAAATATAGTTTAATACCAGTCATTGTTTTTGTTACTGTTACTCTAATAGATTTTTTGTTGCCAGAGTATCAGCTGGATTAGCAAGTGACCACAGTGGAATGCAGAACCAAAGAGAAATTACAATTGTAGTGAAATAATCTCAAATCTGAAGATGTAGGAAGGTTGTTTTCATTACGCCACACTGTAAAAATATTTTGGTAGCACGTGATACAAAAACACAAACACCTACATTGTTTGATAGGACGTTCATCAATATGCTAAATCAGCATATGTAAGAACATATAACCCTCCCACTGTCCTAATGGGTGTGACCTCGCGAGGAAAGTTGACCATTGAGCAGGGTTGATGGTTTATCCCTTGGGTCCACGTGGCAGGGGTGAGGAGTGAGCACCACCTCACCCCTGCCATGTGGTCCTCAAGGGATAAACCATCAATCCTGCTCAATGGTCAACTTTCCTCGCGGGGTC